TCCTGTGGATGAATTTTTTTTCATTGTACTCTACGACCCACATAAATTGTCCTAGTCTCTCCATTAAGAATATATATATATAAATGTGTATATATAAGTAACACATATATGCGGAAAAGTGTTGGTAACGGTCAATGGTCCGAATAACGTGGTTTCATTTTGTCCTGCCGTATAGTGAAATGTGACGTTGGAGAAAAGAGACTTCTATGCGAGGAGGGTGAAAAACATTGGTGCGGAAAAGTACATATAGAGTGTATCGAATATAAAACACCGTTACCCCGTTAACTACGCCAAATGAACTCTTGGAAACGGTTTCAAAGGTTTCCTAGCGAGTGCCGACCCCTAACTATATTGTGCTATATTGGTTCCAGATCGACGTACAACAACATATTATAAATATTATAATATATATTATTTTATAGACCCAGAAAATATCTTCACGGTAGAGGAGGATTACCGATCTCAATAAATATAATTAGTTGGCCTTTGCAATATGTGATATTCTCTCTCCTGGCTAAGTCGTTTCGAACGGTGATAATGCTGATGATAATGGTACTAAATCAACTGATTCTATTTGACGATGAAGTGGATCGTGACGGATATATTATTATTATATGTAGCTATATTATATTCATACACAAATCCGGTCATCGGGCTCCTCTTAGGTTTTCAGTGTAATGGTGACCGAACTGAGAAATAATTTCTCCGGTATGGTGAGTTACGCAGGGGCGGCAAGAGTGAAACTAGTACTAACGGTTTTGAAAATTAGCAACACACTCACGTCCAAGGTGTTATATCCTTACGAGTCTCTTATGTTAATATAAAAATAAAGCCAAACCAAACATCCGTGTAGTATATATATATTATATATAGCTATATTATCCAGTGTAGTTCCTCTAGTACCTAGCTATTACCTACGCAAATTCTTATTTACAAAGGAAGATTCGATAAGTATTCGTTTTTGATTTTTACCAAACTGTATTAGGTAGGTGCTCATTTAATAATCTTACCTACCCTTATCCCCTTAAACAAATCAATAACACGACTGTAGTATTTCGTTAATTATTTTATTACTCACTTGTTGAAGGTATACTTATGTCACAATATTGTGCATTATATCATATTGTACACAATATACATAGCCGTCCCAAGGGGGGGGGGGGGCACCTAGGGCGTCTAAAGTATTATGAATGTAGGAGGCGTACTAAATATGAATGATAAAAAGAAAACTTTGGTGTTTTTATTTTAGGTATTATTTTTCTGTTTATACTGTAATAACAAAGATGAGTAGGTACCTATCAAATTGTATACTATTAAATATAAAATTAACTAAATAATGTGTTAAATCTTAATGCGACATAACTTCAATAATATATTCAAAATGCATAAAAACAAATACAAATATTAATACTCATAACTTATAAGTTATAAGATTACAATAGTAATTTATTTACATAAAATATATTTTAAATATGTATACACATCAATAAAATAATTAAGTAATATACTTATAAGCTAAACTAATTCTGATCTTTGGTAGTATTAAATAATATTTTCACTTGAAAAAGATTTTTTTTTCTGGTTTTGTAATCGGCAAATTTAAGAAAATTTACAATTTTTACAGAAATAACAGAAACCATTTTTAATTATAAACAAAGCGAGGTCCTTAATTGTTGTGTTTAATAATCCTCCTTTAATTTGCTTGGTAAAATATGGAGAAATGTCATCATTATTTTATACAGGGTGTTGCTCAATAAATGTGTCAAACTTCTAGAGGTGTTTCTACACCTCAAATAGAACAAAAAAAGTCCTTATGACCCCTACCTTAAAAAATAATTGTTGTTAGATAAAACTGAATTTTTTTAAAATATTGACATTTTAAAGTTTAAAACATTTGCGTTATTCTTTTTAAACGAAAAACCAGGTGGGAACCTTGTAATATATGTTTTCCTAATCAAAGTTTTATGAGCTTTTCATCAATGTATTCAAATTAATTATAGTACCTAAGGTTTAGCAGATATTAACATTATTATGAATCAAACTCGCGTTTAACCAAAAAAACACAAATAACAGAAATTATCACCCTTATTATTGATGATTCGATTATGGTCATAAGGACTTTTTTTGTTCCATTTGAGGTGTAGAAACACCTCTAGAAGTTTGACACATTTATCGTGCAACACCCTTTATTTATAGAATAACTAGCTGATCCCGTGCACTTCGTCGCCCGTTAAATATATCAACTCAATATGACTCAAACGTTGTTCAATTCATTATTCAATATTCGGTGTATAGTGTTCAAAATTTATCTTATCTTTTCCGTTGCCCGGAATAAAATTTCTGAATCGCAGCAGTACATTATCAGGTACCTACTCGTGGACCCCGTGCTGTTTGTACGGAAGTGTATGATTTAACTCTAAAGTATCAAAGTTATACCAAGTTTATTTTGATATAATACTGTGGATTAATATAACAAATTTGGTTGCTCGTAAAAAATCGCAACTCTTAAAAAAATTATGATTGTTAAACTCCTTTTGGGTGTAACTTGCTGCGGTAAGTGCAACTCGGCCACCCTGGTAGGCAATGTTCAATAATTCGATTTGATGCAAGCTTGTACCTGATCTGTTCGAATAACCAATGGCATCCAATAAATAAATGCTAATTTCTAATGTAGACTGTAACCAATGGCAACTATAAATAAATAAAAATAAAATTTCCAATTTCTATCGTGAATCTCAAAGTCCCTGTTTCAGCACCTATTTGAAATGCGAATTTTGGCAAATCCTTTCTTAGCGCACGTCTACATCATAATAGCTATCTGTATGCCAAATTTCAGCCAGATCCGTCCAATGGTTTGAGCTGTGCGTTGATAGCAGTCAATCAGCTTACTGTTTTATATATACAGATATGGTTGCCATGGTAATATGGACACACACACATACATTCGTTTTTATACATATAGATATTTCAATAATACATCAAATATCTACACTGACAGTGAAATTTTATTCATACATAAATACATTAAAATAATGTGAATTTGATATTTGTTATCAAATACGAAAATAGTAAAATATTAGTTAGCATGGGCCTGGGCCCCCTGCAGTCTATGGGCCTCAGTGATCAACAACCCTCACCCTTGAGTAGTTGTGCTACTGTAATTATTATACACAAAGATATATGTATATTATGTTATAAGTTATAACCAACTCATTATAAATTTTACCCACTTCTTAAAATAAATCGAGTTAGTGTGTTTTGACTGAATTCTGTATAATATTTTCACTTATATTCACTTGTACAATTTACAATGTTGACTGTTATACACGTCACACGCAGAAACGCAGAACGTATGATTTATAATTGAATCTACTAATTTTTGAAAATAGTTATAAATATTTTCTGATGTACCCGGAATAATGAAATCGGTGTCAACTTCGAAAAAATTATGGAAACAAAATAAATATGATTCCAATAATAATATGAAAAAAATTAGTAGGAACCTTTAATTAATAAGTATTGAACATATTTAAGGTGTGTGGTTAATTATAAGCTAAAAATGTGAAGTCGAGATTTTTTTGTGGGTGGGAGAGGGGCGTCAAATATTGTTGCCCTAGGGCGTTATTGGTGGTTAGATAGGAACTGACAATATATAATCGTTAATTTTACATTTGCAAAAAACCCGTTCATCAGTACCTATTTGGCTATATTATTTACCAAGCATACACATTAATGTAGTTGTATCGTTTCGAAGACCAATACGATAATCGATACTATATAAGTCAGCATTTTTCAATCTTAAAACGAAAAATAGCTTATCGAATCGCATTTATACCTATAATGCGTATTAAATTCAATTCAATAGTAAGGAATGTTGTAAAAAAACAAAACATGTTTACTAAATTTAGAAGACATTTTACCAATAAATATTATGAAAAATTAAATATACTATTTTACATAAGCATATCAATACACAGATGTAACGTTAACGATGTATTTTCAATAAACTAAATTATAAATATTATGTTCTATAGTTCTATACTATAGACTATAGAATCTATAGTCATTCAAAACATATCATCAAAACCTACTAATTATTTAACGGTGTATCTAAGTTATTATAGATCTTCTACAATTGAATTAAAAAGTATTACTCATACAGGACACATAAAGTTCATAATGCGACTTTTGTTTATTTATCATAAAATCGAACAAACGGAAATAATTCGATAAAATATTTATTCCTCCCTCCTCCCCACTCCCTCCAATCGCCATGAAAATAACCAATATATTTTTTCCTTCACTGAGGTAATTATACCGAATGCGTATATCACAATTTGTGGATCTATAATAAGCAATAAACTGTAAGATCCTTTTTTATCCCTGGCTCTCAGTCTTTCTTTCTCTATTATAAATAATACAAATTTCGAAACTGTCTATTGAGGCCTACACAAGAAATCTCACAAATGAAAAATGTATTTACACGTATGGTAGCCGTTGTAGAGGATGCCACTTGTAATGAAGTTGTGTAAGTGCGTATAATACGTAGGGCTCGTAACTGATATTCTATCTCTATGAATTAGCCATCGTTGAACAGTGCGGATTTCGCAAATATTTCATTTTCATACACCTCTCTTTTATTAATGATACCAAAGAATATTAAAATGTTTCTTGCCCGTATCCATATACAACATTATAATTTATAATATAATATATATATATATATATATATATATATATATGTATAAACACAGTGGCGAATCCAGGATTTTGCAATAGAGGGGGGGGGGGCAACGAAGTAATTTTATATCCGTTACCTTATACTAGCTTGTTATTACTATAATAACCTCTAATAATAATTTATAATAGCGTTTAGTATATACTATATATACTCAATGATAATATAAATATAAATTGTTAATCAAAACTGATTTACAACATTATGTCCAATATTATGCAATTCTATCTATATTAATATTGTGAATATCATATTTTGTGCACTACTCACCAAGTCCGTGCCACACGGCCCTTTCGTTGCCGTCTGTCCACTCGACCAAAGCGCCTTGTCTGTCTTTGGCTACAAATCGGCCTTGCACGACGTCTGCAAACAGCACATAATACGTGCCCACCGTCACTCTGGCCCCGCACACCCTATGCCCGTCACCCATTAAATCGTTCGAAAATCCCGTCACGTTCATTCTCCTGCAACGATCAACGACAGTCGAGTCAATAAAAAAATAATACGATGTACAATGGGCATTGATAATATTATTATAATATATAATAATTGGTTTTACCTATTGGTTATTTATTTTTAAGGACTATTTTTTAATAAAAAAATATGTTTTCTGGCAGTGAAAAACAATGACAAAAAAATTCACGTTGCACAATCTACATAGGTTGAACATTGAACGCGAGCAGTACAGGACATTTTAAATGTACTTTAAGAGGCCATAATTATATGTAATAGGTACGTTTCTTAATACGTTTCACACAACGGCAAATAAAAACACGTTGTATAAAAAATATGTAGAAACAAACACTCATTTTTTTTAAATACCTTGACCATTTTGTTGGTTCACTCACTCAAACAATACAAATCTCCTGTTAGATTTTCAGAATTATTTTACTTTTTTAAATGCATTCAATTAGGTATAGCTTGATTCAAATTAAAAATACATAATAATAATAATACCTGCATCACTTTCTTGCATCAAGTTCAAACTTTGTTTTAAATTGAATCAACAAAATATTATAAGAAAGTAAACAAATCGTCGAATAATTTACATTTTCAATTTACATTGCACCTACCTACATATTTTCTTTTTCAGTTAACTACATTATAAACTATATTTATAAACCTTTTTGGGGAATACAGTATTTTATTAAAGCAATATTATATTGTGCTCTTAAATATAAAAGTTTCTTGTGGAAAAAATTGTTTTTCTAAAGTTACTGAAGAGATTTCATATTTTATATATTCCCATCAAATATCAAAGTGAATTCAAAACTTTTGGATCGATCATTTTGAATATTAAAATTCTAAGTATGGAGCTAGGACCAACTTACTACCATAATAGTTTGTTCTGAGTACATATTATATACTTGGTGCTAGGCTATAACGGGTTGATATCGGTAAAATATCCATTGCCATTAAATATACCATATAATATGTTTCTGTACATGTAATCGTGGATACACAAAATATTTAAGTTTTGTAATGATATCTCAATGTAATAAACTATAATATTATATCAGCCATTTATGTTTTTTAGGTACCAATACAATTTAAAATCAAATGTATAAAACGTTTTTGTTCTGAAATATGATATAAATTACACAAAGACTGCAAATTACACTATATGTAAATGTACATAAATAAAACAAATGGCTTGAAACTCATAAATACAGTCAAATTATTATTATTAATTTATTTATACTCGTATATTTTATATTGCGGAAAATCCGCTGAACAGAGATGATATACATTTTATAGGTTTTTTTGATTGTTTTGAAACACTAAATACATGTTTATTAAATTAGTTGTACCTAATACATTCAACAATTATTTTATTGTTTATTTAAAAAAAAAAAGATTATTATTTAGAAAATGAGGTCGATATAAACAAACAATATAGAGGGCGAGGAATTGGTGTATGAGAAAGTGTCGGTAATGATGTGGCTTCATAATATTATGCATGTAGGTATAGGTGAACCATTGTTGGCCATAACCGAGAACAAAGTAAATAAAGGACGACAAGAATGTTTCGTTTATAGGAAGCTCAGATGACGTGGACGGACAATGGCCTGGGGATTGATGGGTGTCTGTAGGTAGATGCTGAGACGTAATAACAATAATAACAATCCCTTATTATACAAATTTTATCCTTTAAACTACGTGATAAAGGTGCTAATAAGTCAGAAAATCCTAGTCTAGAATATCCTCGGTATCCGATAAGAACAGATAATATTATAGCTTAGGTGACTGTGGTGGCAATGAGCCCTTCATACTATAAAATGTTATCTAACATATAAACCGCATTTAACGCTGAATACCTTAAAAGTTTTTCTCTTTGGCCACTCCTCTATCACCTACACACACAAATTACACCAGACTAACTTCCATCCGCTTTTATTATAAATAAAAGGATTCTTTTTCCCTTTCATCCGGACAGGATGCTTTTGAATTATATACTGACCCATAGCGTGAGCGTGAAAATGAAAAAAAAGCATCTAATAAAATATCCGGAGGGGATTAAATGTGGCCTTTGACAATTGCCTTTTTGCCACCACTACCAGTACCACAATCACCATCACTACTAACACAGCATATTATACTGCTACCACAAATTGACTGCGTCCGCCACCAATACCACGTGGTACCCTAAAGCTATATTTATGTTTATATATATATATATATTATTTATACATACACACGAGACGTCTTCTCTATATAATTAAATCAACTGAAAGCTGTCAAGACATATTTTATCCATTTCGGCTCGTTCTGTTGCATTTGGACATTTGGACATCTCGTGATTTTGAAGGTTTGACAACTTGTAAATACATGCAGTTATAATGATTGTGTATATTACATAACATTGCCATATAGTAAGTATTAATATCATTAATATCTTTTTATTGAGATTGATTCTTTTTTTTATTTTAAATGCCTTATCATTGAATAAAATAAAAATGTGTTATCCTTAGGTTTATGTCATTGATAAAATAAAATAAGATAAAACTGTACATATTACGTTAACCTAACCAGAGTTAATGTTATAGATTATTTGAAAATGCATTCAAAATAAAATAATATACATTTTCCTAATTACTTTATTTTTTAATTTAAAATATTTTTTTTATTGCACAATCTGTTCAAACAAATTTAGAACCTACAATAAATGAATTGATGTTTGGATAGAAAAATAAAAGACATGAAGAAACCCAGTGGAGAAACTTCGAACGTATTCCCAATAGATTTTTTTATTTGATCAATCATTCGTGGAAGTATTGGGAAAAAAATAACTTTCAAAAATATTTTTTAGAAATTATACACTGAGGTGTAAGATATTACAACTTAATGTTAAACTGGTAAAAAATTGTTTGGAAGATTTACTTAGCCGTATTCAAATTGTTGAGTGAAATTCGGCTAACCTGTGAAATGGCTTATTAGTTATTATGGTACTATGGTATTTTATAAGTGAACGACTAAGCCAGTTAAACCAAGAAAAATGGTTTTAAAGTTTGTAAGAAATATATCACAATAAATAAATGTATATACTTTATATTTAAAAAAAAAAAATACCAACAATATAAATTATTATGCAAATAATCATCGAATACGACAAACTACAGAATATTTATAAATATAATAATATCAATCAATTTTTAATTTTGTATATAAAGCATAATACATTTATGTGTGTATAATATACATATACCAGTTATAGTAATAACTTTTGAAGTTTATACAAACATAACACAATTATTTTACATTCCTATTTTATATAATTAACTGGAAATTGTAATGAATCATATTGTGAATAACTCACTGCACAAGTTTAAAACATTTAAAAGATATTTTTCACATTAAAAAAAAACAGTAAAGTAAACAAATAAAGGTTTTTGTTTGAAGGTAAGATTTAATACTTATATTAGAATACCCTGTAATCTAAATTATTTAAATTTTAAAAGTGAATACTATATGAAAATGTATTATAAAAAATAAAGATATATTGAAAACACATTTCAATTTTATATTTAGAAAAACATTTGAAAATTATTGACTTTATTTTCTAAAAAATATATGGATAAATTAAAATCACATACCTACATTATTTTCTATTTTAAATTGTAATAGTATGACTTCATGTCAACAACAATAGACGAAATTGTTCGTAGTACCAAACTAATTTCCTAAAAAATATGCATTTACTTCTCAATTGAATATTTATTTATTAAACACGTGCGATAGGGATATATCAATTTCGGCCACGAAATATCTTCAATTGCGTTCTATATAAATAATTTGTTTACGTATTATAATATAATATATACTTTCTATTGACTTACGATCATAAATATTTATAACGCCTCGCAAATATTATTGTGTACTTAAGATAAAAAATAATTTGAATATTGAGATAAATGTACAAAAATGTACATGACGGCAGTAATTTATGATTAAGTAGATTGTAGAATGATATGTATCGGATTCACCATACACGTAACTTATGTTTCAATGAAGTACAGTGATTTTTTATGTACCTACCTTTTTTTTATTACTATTAATTAGAGTTTCCCGGACATATTATCATCTAAACTTATTGCAAACAGAATTAAATTTCGAAATTAGATAACAATAACAATAATAGTATCATAAATCAGTAGGTTATTATGATAATATTACAGTGTTTGACAATGTAAGAATTAATATATTTTAACTTTATAGTTAATATTAGTAATAAAAGATGATACTACTAGGTGCTTTTAATGTATTTACAATAATTAAGAAGATAATAAATAGATATAGGTATAATATATTAATATGTATACATACATATATACCTAACGATAGAGTTTTTTCTATTTTTATTTATATATACATTAATTCTAGGTGAAAATAGTTCTCAATGACTATTCGTTCTATCAAACTACATAATGAGGACTGTTCTCGATGATGAACAGTGGTATTGGGAGGAGAGTTGATACACCCGTACAAAGGATTTGTTGGCACCGGGTCTTATGCTAGAGACACGATGATGGGGGTAGGAAGAGTAGAACTGGTAGTGGTGTAATAGAAGCACCCCATTGTGCCCTAATTTACACTTTCAGTGAATCGATTTTTCTTATTTTTTTTTTCATACCACCACCTTCTTACTCTCATACCTATCACGGTATATGTATATAGCTATTCTGCTCAAAGAAGAAAGAACGGATATTTTGGCCAGGGTCCTGCCAAAGTTTAATAAATTAATCGGTAACCCATCAAGAAGATGGAAAAAGCAGAGAAAGCAAAATAATAAGTTTTCACGGTAACTCTTTTTTGCCTTTTATCCCACAGAAGTGAGTGGGTGGCAGTGGCGGGGGAGTAACGCTTTGGCATCGAGTTGAAAATACTGTAATTAAACGATGTCAAGTCTACCAATCGGACGCCAATAAGGATTTGTTATATAATCATATATAATTCACACATAATC